TCTCAAGCTAGTAACAGGAAAAAATTATTGGTAAAGTCGCCATTTTAAGAAGTCATGTAGATGGATGCAGGATGTTACAATGGCTCACAAACAAATTAACTGAATGAACTTTACCTGGTGCAGTTTTGGCCAATCTGGTAAGTGTGAGGTTATCGGCTTCCAATTCAAAGTCATGGTCTGATGAATTTTACAAAAATTTTAGGTTCTGCTAAGTGCTAAAGCGACAGAAATCTGGTGGAATGCAGAATGGCTAGGAAAGATTTAGCTAACAGACTCAAAAAGTTTTCTGTAGTCTCTGTGTCACCTAAAGGAAAAGCAAAACCTTCCAAATCCTGTGGTTTTCCCTAGAGAGGTGGAACATGGTGATCGGGCAGCTGGCAAGGTTGTCCATTGCTTATTATGGCTACAAAACAATGAAAGCATCAAGCAATGAAGGGACAAATATAACTTAGTGGTTCAGAGCACAAATTATAATTTAATTTTCTTAAGCTATACAAGTTTTGAGCCATTTTAGATAGAGCCATATCGAAACCAAGCAAAGAATTTCCACAAGTGGGAACCCAAGGTTCTTGCTGTGATGTTCCTTCACATGTGAATTTATCATCTATCTCGCAGAAATACACATATACCACAAAATATTTCAAAACTATTTGAAAATGCTGAAGGGCAAGCTATCCTGGAAGGGGAAATTAGATTGTTTTGAATATAAATTATACATATACATTTTAGAAGCAAAATACACATTGATGGGTCATATTTATCAAATCAGATACCAATAAAAGGAAATGTAGGAGGAACTTTATTTTTAAACTGAGAGGTCATCAGAAATTTTGAACAGATTTCTGGCATGAGTATTGAATAAAGAACCCTGAACAGTTTCAAGCAGGAATTATGAGGGGTTCTGGTCAGCCAACGGGACTCAAGAAATGTATGAAGAGACAGTTAGGATAGGGGCATTTAAGGGGCTTTTAGATAAGCGCATGAATATTCAAGGAATGGAAGGACATGGACCAAGAGCAGGCAGAAGGGATTCGTTTAATTTGGCATCACGTTTGGCACAACATTGTGGGTTGATGGGCCTGTTCCTGTGCTTTATTGTACTCTGTTCTATGAATACTGCCCATAGATGGGCTAATTAGTCCAAAGGTCTTCAATTGCCTGAAACTGTTACTTTGTTAAAATTTTCAATTCCAAATCCTCAAGTTTTCAAACAAACAAACACATTTATGTGTTTATTAAAGCATTGCTTCCTTACAAGCTTGATCCCCTACTAATGCAGATTTCTCCGTTTCTTTCAATGCTGACAATAAAGTTCATGGAAAGAGGAAAGATTGAAAGGAAACAAACCAGAGAGAGTGTACAACATATAAATTTGCACCTTCAATTTACAAATGTTTTATTTTAAATACCCAAGTATGGCAAAGCAGATTTTGGAGTATTGATAAAATCAAAACCTGCGTGAGAAAAAATACATTTCA